GGTGGCGGCGAGGGCGGCGACAGTTGCTGCAGTGGGGGCGGCTGTTCCAGCGGCTGTGGCACGTTGTTCAGTTTCACCTTCTGAAGAGGACTCAGCTGGACTTGCACGGCTGGTGTCTGTAGAGGAGACGGCACGGGCGCCTGCTGGGAATGGGCAGCCTGGCCTTGGGGAACCTCCTGGGGCGGAAGAGGATAAACGGAGTGTGTGGCCTGATGAATGGCTTGCTCTTGCGCATGCTTCCCTATCCTGGCGGATAGGCTCTCATGCTCCTGGTGAGATCTGGCCTCTAAACAGGGCTGCATTGTTTTCATGGGGCGAGCCGTGCACCTCTGGTCCCGTTCGTGCGGCTGCAGACTGTACTGCAAGGGGAAATGCTGCTGGTGCTGCTGCATTTCCGGGGGCTGCCGGAAGGCCTGAGGGTGGCTCATGGCCTGATGAGGCAGCGGCCCTTTGTTCATATGTGGGATGTTAAGGCAATGGGTGCAGCACACCGGCGTGGGGCAATGAACCGGAGTCTGAAATTGGTGGGGTTGATTATTGAGAGGGTCGTGCTGCGGTGCTGGCGAATGATGTCCATGATGGTGGTACAAAGAGGGCTGCATTCCTTGCATACTTCCGTAGGCTGGTACGTCAGAGTGAAGCATCTGTCCCCCCTCCATTGACAAGTGACCTGTGAAGAGCAAGCAAATAACGGAGGGCAGCATCAGAAGTTGCAGGGAAAGAACCCGGAGGGAGAAACCTCAGCAAGGGGATGCGAGGCCATTTCACTGAGAAGAGCCCAAGGTGTTTCCTTGCCCTCAGAGACCCCTCTCACCTGATACTCTTGTACAGATACACTTGATCTTAGCCAAAAGGCCGAGATAATTATAAATGTACGTGGGCAAAACATATAGATAACAAGCTGGAGTGGATTGGTCTCGCCCCTACGGTGCTTAATAATTTAAATTATCTATGGAATGCCCCTCATATACCCAAACGCAGCCAAGACCTCATTTCGACTCTGCTAATAGCTGCTAAGGTGGTTATTGCGAGTAGCTGGAAATCCACCGACAAACTTCTTCTTTCCTCTTGGCGGTTGATTATTGAGAGGGTCGTGCTGCGGTGCTGGTGAATGATGTCCATGATGGTGGTACAAAGAGGGCTGCATTCCTTGCATACTTCCGTAGGCTGGTACGTCAGAGTGAAGCATCTGTCCCCCCTCCATTGACAAGTGACCTGTGAAGAGCAAGCAAATAACGGAGGGCAGCATCAGAAGTTGCAGGGAAAGAACCCGGAGGAAGGAACCTCAGCAAGGGGATGCGAGGCCATTTTACTGAGAAGGGCCCAAGGTGTTTCCTTGCCCCCAGAGACCCCTCTCATCTGATACTCTTGTACAGAGTAAAGCACCACCTCCTCAACAGACTAGAGTCTAGGTGCTGATCTACAGCCTTCTGTTTCATGTAAAGACTTCATAGAAGGAGACCTGACTCTGAAAATGGGTTGGAACCATGAAACATGTTGGGTTAAGGGAAACATTTCCTAGCCAAACACGTGTGAAATAACTTGATGTAATTATATTTTCATTTTTTCATAGGTAAAGACATGAGGAGTCCCAAGAGCATAAAACTGGCTTCTGAAATGTGCAAGAGACTTTCCCGAGAGCTTTTGTTCTATCCCTGTGGAATTAGACCACTTACAAACATGAAAAAGCTTTAACTTCA